GCTTGATGCAGTTGTTGAAAGCAAAGGATTTGCAACTAAATATTAAGTCTCATTCACTTTAATCTATTTTAAGTTTATATGTTCCAATACTTTTGCTCACCTAAAAATTTTGTGTTCCATTACAAATAATGCTATCTTCTAAGTTGTGTATCAGATCCAGATGTAAATACCTGGAAATAAAAGCTGAAATGTTGATCTCTTGTCTCATATTCATCTTTTGATGTCAAACCCAAATGTTTTCAGTCTACAACAAAAGTAAACGAATTGGCCTCACTGTTCCAATACTTTTGGAGGGCACTGTATGTACTTAACAAAAAAAGGTGAAATAACTGAAAACATGTTTTATATTCTAGTTTCTTCAAAATAGCCACCCTTTGCTCTGATTACTGCTTTGCACACTCTTGGCATTCTCTCAATGAGCTTCAAGAGGTAGTCACCTGAAATGGTTTTCCAACAGTCTTGAAGGAGTTCCCAGAGGTGTTTAGCACTAGTTGGCCCCTTTGCCTTCACTCTGCAGTCCAGCTCACCCCAAACCATCTCGACTGGGTTCAGGTCCAGTGACTGTGGAGGCCAGGTCATCTGCCGCAGCACTCCATCACTCTCCTTATTGGTCAAATAGCCCTTACACAGCCTGGAGGTGTGTTTGGGGTCATTGTCCTGTTGAAAAATAAATGATCGTCCAACTAAACGCAAACCGGATGGGATGGCATGTCGCTGCAGGATGCTGTGGTAGCCATGCTAGTTCAGTGTGCCTTCAATTTTGAATAAATCCCCAACAGTGTCTCCAGCAAAACACCCCCACACCATCACACCTCCTCCTCCATGCTTCACAGTGGGAACCAGGCATGTGGAATCCATCCGTTCACCTTTTCTGCGTCTCACAAAGACACGGCAGTTGGAACCAAAGATCTCAAATTTGGACTCATCAGACCAAAGCACAGATTTCCACTGGTCTAATGTCCATTCCTTGTGTTTCTTGGCCCAAACAAATCTCTTCTGCTTGTTGCCTCTCCTTAGCAGTGGTTTCCTAGCAGCTATTTGACCATGAAGGCCTGATTCGCGCAGTCTCCTCTTAACAGTTGTTCTAGAGATGGGTCTGCTGCTAGAACTCTGTGTGGCATTCATCTGGTCTCTGATTTGATCTGCTGTTAACTTGCCATTTCTGAGGCTGGTGACTCGGATGAACTTATCCTCAGAAGCAGAGGTGACTCTTGGTCTTCCTTTCCTGGGTCGGTCCTCATGTGTGCCAGTTTCGTTGTAGCGCTTGATGGTTTTTGCGACTCCACTTGGGGACACATTTAAAGTTTTTGCAATTTTCCGGACTGACTGACCTTCATTTCTTAAAGTAATGATGGCCACTCGTTTTTCTTTAGTTAGCTGATTGGTTCTTGCCATAATATGAATTTTAACAGTTGTCCAATAGGGCTGTCGGCTGTGTATTAACCTGACTTCTGCACAACACAACTGATGGTGCCAACCCCATTGATAAAGCAAGAAATTCCACTAATTAACCCTGATAAGGCACACCTGTGAAGTGGAAACCATTTCAGGTGACTACCTCTTGAAGCTCATCGAGAGAATGCCAAGAGTGTGCAAAGCAGTAATCAGAGCAAAGGGTGGCTATTTTGAAGAAACTAGAATATAAAACATGTTTTCAGTTATTGCACCTTTTTTGGTAAGTACATAACTCCACATGTGTTCATTCATAGTTTTGATGCCTTCAGTGAGAATCTACAATGTAAATAGTCATGAAAATAAAGAAAACGCATTGAATGAGAAGGTGTGTCCAAACTTTTGGCCTGTACTGTATATGTAACTTTAGACCCTAATAAAATGTAAATGGATGAGCTATATATAAAGTCGTCCCCCTTACAGTTGTCATGAATGTTGAAGTTACCTGTAGAGACCAAAACACTTTTTTCGTACCTTTTCTGCTGTAAAGTTTGGCTTTTTTTCCACATGGGGACTATGAGAACTGACGGGCTTCTGTACCCAGCCTCAAGTGGCCATTGGACGAACTGCAGTTTTTGGCACTTCTGTGTTGGCTTTATTTTTCCACAGCAGAGGTTGTTGTTTGCCAAAGATATGAACTGTTATACAGTCATTCTTTAACATGTCTCTATCCTTCAGCTATCCAAGGTGCTGACAGGCTCGTTTATCCAGCTTAGAGACCTCCTTAGATCTCTTAAATGTAAGAGCATTTGGGCTAAAAGAAAAGTGATAGATTTTCAAAAATTATATGTTATTCCTATGATCCAAGACAGTCCAAAAATATAAGTAAATGTGAACAACTCTCTCCCAAATCTAAAATCTAGATGGCTGAACTCAAACTTGTGATGTCATCAAGTTTAAAGTCTGGAGCTGCTCCATAGACAATTGAATTGGGAAAGATGTTCTAGATGACACTGAGAGCACCCAGGGCAATATTCTGAGCATATGGGTACATTCCCTGTTTCCCAACTAGGCTACTTAAGGAGGTCTTACCTTTAGTTAAGACTCATATATTAGATATGATCAATATATCCTTATTAACAGGCTATGTGCCACAGTCTTTTAAGGAAGCTCTCCTAAAAAGCCCACCCTGGATCCAGAGGTGTTAGCCAACTATAGACCAATATCTAATCTTCCCTTTCTTTCAAAGATCCTTGAGAAAGTAGTCGCAGACCAGCTGTGTGATATTCTCCATGATAATAATTTATTTGAGGAGTTTTAGTCAGGATTTAGAGTGCATCATAGCACTGAGACAGCACTAGTTAAAATTACAAATGACCTTCTGATTGCTTCAGACAAAGGACTTGTCTCTGTACTTGTTTTATTAGATCTTAGTGCAGCGTTTGACACTATTGACCATCAAATTCTGCTACAGAGACTGGATCACTTAATTGGCCTAAAAGGTTCTGCACTAAGCTGGTTTAAATCTTATTTATCTGATCGTTTTCAGTTTGTTCATGTTCATAATGAAACATCCTTACGTACTAAAGTTTGTTTTGGGGTTCCGCAAGGTTCTGTGCTCGGACCAATCCTATTTACTCTATATATGCTTCCTTTAGGTAACATCATTAGAAATCACTCTGTAAATTTCCATTGTTATGTGGATGATACACAGTTGTATTTATCTATGAAGCCAGAAGATAGTAATCAATTAACTAAACTTCATAATTGCCTTAAAGACATAAAAACCTGGATGAGCACCAGTTTCCTGATGTTAAAAATTCAGACAAAACTGTTATTGTTAAGTTATTGTTCTTGGCCCCAAACAACTCAGAGACTTTATCTGATGACATAGTTTCTCTAGATGGCATTGCTCTGGCCTCTAGCACTACCGTAAGAAACCTCGGAGTAACATTTGATCAAGATTTGTCTTTTAATTCTAATTTAAAACAAACCTCATGGACTGCATTTTTTCATCTGCGTAATATTGCGAAAATTAGGCCTATCCTGACCCGAAAAGATGCAGAAAAATTGGTCCACGCTTTTGTTACCTCAAGGCTGGATTACTGTATCTCTCTATTATCAGGTAGCTTTAGTAAGTCCTTAAAACTCTCCAGCTAATTCAGAATGCAACAACACGTGCACTAACAGGAACTAAGAAACGAGATCATCTTTCTCCTGTTTTAGCTTCTCTGCACTGGCACCCTGTAAAATCCAGAATTTAATATAAAATCCTACTGTTAACTTATGAAGCTCTAAATGGTCAAGCTCCGTCATATCTTAGAGAGCTCATAGTGCCATATTATCCCACCAGAACACTGCGCTCTGAGAACGCAGGGTTGCTCGTGGTCCCTAAAGTCTCCAAAAGTAGATCAGGAGCCAGAGCATTCAGCTATCAGGCTCCTCTCCTGTGGAATCATCTTCCTGTTACGGTCCGGGAGGCAGACACCGTCTCCACATTTAAGACTAGACTTAAGACTTTCCTCTTTGATAAAGCTTATAGTTAGGGCTGGCTCAGGCTTGGCTGGCTCAGGCTGACAGTTAGGCTGACTTAGGCCTAGTCTGCCGGAGGACCCCCTATAATACACCGGGCACCTTCTCTCCTTCTCTCTCCCTCTCTCTCGCTCTCTCTCTCTCTCTCGTGTCCTATTACTGCATCTTGCTAACTCGGCTATTCTGGATGTCACTAACTTGGCTTCTTCTCCGGAGCCTTTGTGCTCCACTGTCTCTCAGGTTAACTTATATCACAGCGGTGCCTGGATAGTGTGACATGTGTGGTTGTGCTGCTGCCGTGGTCCTGCCAGATGCCTCCTGCTGTTATCATTAGTCATACTTCTACTGTTATTATACACATATGATTATTGTCACATATGTATACTATCAGATATTAATATATACTTTCAACATATTGTACCACAGTAGCCAGAACTATAACTATAATATTATTACTTTCATTAATGTTGTTGTAAGCTACTGTCATTACCATCTGTCCTGCATCTCTCTCTGTCTCTGTCTCTGTCTCTCTCTCTCTCTCTCTCTCTCTCTTTTTGTCTCATTGTGTCATATGGATTACTGTTAATTTATTATGTTGATCTGTTCTGTACGTCATCTATTGCACGTCTGTCCGTCCTGGAAGAGGGATTCCTCCTCAGTTGCTCTTTCTGTGGTTTCTACCGTTTTTTTTTTCCCCGTTAAAGGGGTTTTTTGGGGGGAGTTTTTCCTTATCCGCTGTGAACGTCCACAGGACAGATGGATGTCATATGCTGTAAAGCCCTGTGAGGCAAATTGTGATTTGTGATAATGTGCTTTATAAATAAAATTGATTGATTGATTGACAGCTGAGAACACTACAGCAGGATAAAGCTCATTTGGGTATAAGCAGCTCCAGACTTTATACTTGATGACATCACAAGTTTGACACTTATTTCTCTGGTTTCTAAGAGAAGGTAGATTATGCTCACAATTATTGACTGAACTCTCAGGCAATTTAAACAGTATATTGAAATTCTTAATTAAGTTGGTGTTAGCCTTTAATGAGTAAATGATTACATCTTTCTCTCTCTCTGCAGGTTTTCACATTATTCCCAGAGTGTCACACGTTGTCCCAGAGAGCTGTCTGCTGATTGGCGTTGGCCTGCTTGTGGGTGGCATCATCAAAGCCATCGGAGAGGAAGCCCCCGTTCTTGACACTAAGCTCTTCTTCCTCTACTTGCTGCCTCCCATCATCCTCGATGCTGGCTACTTCCTGCCCATGCGGCCCTTCACAGAGAACATGGGCACCATCCTGGTGTTCGCAGTGGTGGGGACTCTGTGGAACGCCTTCTTCATCGGCGGCATGATATACGGCGTGTGTCGGATTGAGGGAAACCAGCTGGCCAGCGTGGACCTGCTGTCCTGCCTGCTGTTTGGCTCCATCGTCTCAGCTGTAGACCCTGTGGCAGTCCTGGCTGTGTTTGAGGAGATCCACATCAACGAGCTGCTGCACATCCTCGTGTTCGGGGAATCGCTGCTTAACGACGCCGTCACTGTGGTGAGTAAAGAGGTGGCTGTACTTTCTCTGAGTATTTCCACCTTCTGACACTTTTTCACTTCCACTTCATAACATTTCAGAGACAAACATTGTACTTGTTTACTCCCCTGCACTCATCTGACAGCTGGAGGTGCTGGTTATGTTTTAAATTGAGAGTCTACATTACAAACTCATTTTATAAAATACAAAAAAACAATGTTAAAAATCAAACCATGAAATGTGATATTTTCTTCACTCATGTCCTTGTTTTTGTTTAGTTTGTATTCAGTGTCTAATCAGATCAGTGATTAAATTATGACATCAGCCCCTTGAACAGGCAATCACTGTTAATGTGGAACAAACTGTAATCAGTTTTATATTAATTCACGTCTGTGCTTTCTCCTCCAGAGATTAAATGCCTCTGCCAGTAAGACTGTCTGAAGCAAGATGTTGCTGTGAAAATACATCCATATAAATATATGATTTTCAAATACAGAAAATGATTAAGTCAATTATTTATCCATATTTATGTGTGACTCTGAAACACTCTGTACTGTAGGAAAGGAATATAGAAAGGTAGGTGGCCTTTACTAGATGAAATATACAGGCTGTAATAATATCATGAACGTTATTTGAAATAAATTGCATAATTGAAAAGAAAGAAAGAAGGAAAATGAGGGAGGAAGCAAAGGAAAAGGAAGAAAGTAAAGATGGGAGGAAGGAAGGGAGGAAGTGAAGAAGGAAGTAAAGGGAGGGAATAAGGGGAAACAGAAAGATATGAAAGAATGGAGGAAGTAGGAAGGACTAAAAGAAGGAAGTCAAGAAGGAAAGAAAGAAGTGAGGAAGGAGGGAAAGAAGGGAGGGTGTGAAGAAGGGAGGACTTAAAGAAGAACAAAGAAATGTGCATGGAGGGAAAGAAAGAAGGAAGTGGGGAAATAAGGAAAGCAGGAAATATAAAAGAAGGGAGGAACTGAAGAAAGAAAGAGAGAAGTGAGGGAGGAAGGAAGAAATTAAAGGTGTAAAGGTAAAGGTGAGAAAATAAGTAAAGCAGAACGTTATGAAAAGGGGGGGAAGTAAAGACGGAAAGAATGAAAAACAAGTGAGGAAGGGATAAAAGAAGGACGGGAGTGGGCAAGGAAAGAAAGAAGTAAGGAAGGGTGGAAAGAACAGAGGAAATAAGAAAAGAGGAAAGATATGAAAGAAGGGAGGAAGTGAAGAAGGAAGGGATAAAAGGAGAAAGTGAGGAGGTAACGATCTAAGCAATAAAAGAAGGTAGGAATGACTGTCCTCACTGAGATAACACATGCAGGGTTGAAAGCCATTATGACAGTTGATTTTTTGTAAAACACAATAAACTCTCAGTAAATGTTTTTCTGTCTGTGCAGGTTCTGTATCACCTTTTTGAGGAGTTCTCTCACGCTGGAACTGTGACCGTGACCGACGCCGTCCTCGGTGTTGTCTGTTTCTTTGTGGTTTCACTGGGAGGCGTGATGGTGGGAGCCTTCTACGGCCTTCTGGGTGCCTTTACCTCCCGCTTCACCTCGCACACCCGAGTCATCGAGCCACTGTTTGTTTTCCTCTACAGCTACATGGCTTACCTCTCCGCAGAGGTCTTCCACCTGTCGGGCATCATGTCGTAAGTGATCCAGACTTCATGGGTTTGTTGTTTGTCTTCAGTGGAAAATGTATAAACAAGTCAGTCCTTGTTTTTCTCTGATACCCGTTTCACACCAGTTACCTCACGTGCTGAAAATTGGCGGCGGGTTTGACATATCCACAACAAGTGTTTGTACTTGAATTCCTCATTGTGCAGTTTATTGGCACATCACAGTTAGCTTAACTGGTTTGACATGTAATATTATGATTACGTCAGTTTTACTGCCTTTTCAGTGCCGTCAATTTGTTTGTGACATGTTTCTGTGTAGATCATTTGCCTTTCTCATTCAGCATTCTTGTTATGTTTTGATACACTATGTTGTCCCTCATCATCCCAGTCACCTGTCGCTTAATTTCCTCCTCACCATGGAAGGTCAGGAGCTCGTACACCTCGAAGTTTTGCCACATTGTCATGTTCAAAACATAGCTGTATCTGAAAAAATTCCTGCTGCCATCTCACCATTTGTTTGCAGCGACCTGTAATGATTGCATCACAACTGTGCGCCCCATTTGCAACCACTGACATAATTGTTCCCGACCTGGTTGTTAGCAACCCTGGTGATGTGTCATGGACATTGAAATTGACCCTTGTCTGACCCACCTCTTGGCCTGGGTCTTAAAACTGAGCCACTCAATGCAGGTTAACCCTCTCAAACACAAAATCAGCACTGTTTCAACCCTGGTTAAGGCCTCTATGTTAGAGGGTAAAAAAAGGAATAGTTTGACATTTTGGGAAGTACACTTATTCACTGAGTGAGATGAGAAAATTGATACTAAGCTATTCAAGTGTTAAATTTAATGTTCTTTATATCACTCAGCATATCTGTATCTGGTCTGAAAACCTTGCCATGTCGACAAGACATTAAGAAGTAGTCTGACACGCAACCCTCACATTCCATGACTTTGGTTTTTTAATTTCAGTTTTTGTATGGATAAAAAATACATACCATGTTCATTCGTTAGCTTTAGTGTTGCCCGCAGGTGGATTTTGTAACCTTTGGACAGAGCCAGGCCAGCTGTTTCTCCCTGTTTCCAGTCTTTATGCTAATCTAAGCTAACTGCTAGCTTCATATTTAGTGTAAAAACATGAGCAGTAGATCTTCTTGTCTAACCCTCAGTAATAAAAAGGAATGCGGTGCATTTCATAACATGTCATATGTCTTTATATTAATATTTTGCTTTATCAGCTTCTGTAGATGGAGAAGTGATCTCTCTGGAAAGATAGCAAAAGCTAAAAAATCATTTACAGCGTCAGTCAGTAGGGAATGTGTCAGACCTCTGTATTTCAGCCACACGTTATGATTTGGTTTTGAACAGTTGTCCTTTGTGTAGAAATACTGTTTCTTACATCTTTAAACATTTTTGAAAATGTCAAACATCACTCAGAGTTGCTCATGTAATTCTCTCCTTCTTTCCTTCCTTTCCCCAACAGGTTGATAGCATGTGGCGTGATGATGCGTCCGTACGTGGAGGCCAACATCTCCCACAAGTCGTACACCACGATTAAATATTTCCTAAAGATGTGGAGCAGCGTGAGCGAGACACTCATCTTTATCTTCCTCGGTGTTTCCACGGTGGCTGGTCCTCATGCCTGGAACTGGACCTTTGTCATTGTCACCGTGGTCCTCTGTCTGGTGTCCAGAGTGCTGGGTCAGTAAACAGAATGTGGTCAGATAGTGGCTTCTGTCTGGATAACTAACATCATGTGGTTTTTTTGTTGTTTTTTAAATAAATTCCTGCATTTTTCTAAATGAAGTGTATTACTGTAATAATGCTTCCTTCCTTTCCTTTTCTTCTATCTCTTGTGTATAAAATGTATTGTGTTGTTTTCTGTGTGTTTTTCAGGAGTCATTGGCCTCACATTCATCATCAATAAATTCCGTATTGTGAAGCTGACCAAAAAAGACCAGTTCATTGTGGCCTATGGTGGCCTACGAGGGGCCATCGCCTTCTCACTGGGCTTCCTGCTGACCAATAGTGAGATGAAGCACATGTTCCTCACTGCCATCATCACAGTCATCTTTTTCACTGTCTTTGTGCAGGTTTGTTCAGCATTTACATTTCTGTGTTTTATTTTAGGTTATTTAGTAAAAAAAAAAACATTATTTAAAAGAAAATACTAATAATAATTCAGGTTTGGTCCTCTCTATAAATAACCAGCATCCTTTACTGACATCTTGTTGGCGACTAACTAGAATTGCAAAATCCACATGACCTCACGTCCTGTTTCTGTGTTCAGGGGATGACAATCAGGCCTCTGGTGGAGCTTCTGGCTGTGAAGAGGAAGAAAGAGAGCAAAGGATCAATTAATGAGGAGATTCACACACAGGTGAGATTAATGATTATTTATTTCACAATTTTACTTAAGGTGTTATGAAATACAATAAAAATAACAGAGAAACAGCACAAGACTTAAAAGATCAAACTGTCATCATTAAAGGGTAACTTAAGTATTTTTTAACCTGGACCCTATTTTCTTTTTGTTTTGTGTCTAAGTGACTAGTGAGAACAACAATTTTTGAAATTTTTTGGGCAGCTGTGGCTCAGAGGTAGAGCGCGTTGTTCACAAATAGAAGGATCAGCGGTTCGATCCCTGGCTCCTCCAGTCTGCATGTCAAAGCATCCTTGAGCAAGATAGACTCTTAATTCATCCAGTTAGATTTGAAAATATGATGAATCTATGCAGGCTAAAATTACTGTTTATTTAAATGTAGGCTGGTGGATTTGGCAATAGTGATTTTGCGGCTGTCTATGGTCAAACAAAAGGATCTTACTCTTAAACAAAGTGGTCTATCTCTGAAGGGATCCTTCTCATAATGTTGTTGGACACTTAAAGTAACAGTCTGAGCCTGTCAGTGGCAAAAACAAGTACTTTTAGTGGACGTAAATTAATGGTGCAAACATGCCCCGAATGGTTACATTGCAGCTGTTTCAGCGCTACCAGCTACAGCTCTCTCTCTCAATACTGAATTTAAGAAAATGCTTTTCCCATTAGTCACTTAGACACAAATACATGGGAAAACAAGGTTCAGGTTGAAAATACCAAACTTACCTCTTAAGATATGAAGATGTGGAAATAACAGTATATAAAAACTCATTGTGTCTTCAGTTTCTGGATCATCTCCTCACAGGGATTGAAGACATCTGTGGTCATTATGGGCATCATCACTGGAAAGACAAGTAGGATTTGTCCTAACATTTCCTCTGACTCCTTCCTGGTACTGTCTTTTATGAGCTAAACATTAGGATGTGGAGGCTTATGCACACCTTCAATAACTTCTGTTTAGGTGTGTCGGGGGGAAATTGTCATAGGTTAAGAAAAAAGAATCCTTCACACTGTTGTAGTACTTGCAATAAACTTTATTTGAATGCACAATATTTGGTCCTCAGACCCTCATCAGTTAACAAGGTTTACCTGCTGAATTTTACCTAATGAAGGTGTGAGGACAGAAATGTTCTTATGAAGAAAGTTACAAAGAAACCGCCTTTCAATGGCTTCAAGATTTTGGTTTTAAACCCCCAGGGATGCCACTTGTGTCCATTTGCAAGCTTTATATGATGAATCAAGTTATGAGGATACCTAATAATATTATATATTGTGCAAATAAATTAATAATAGTTGTACATGATACTTTCTCTGTTGTGATCAGGCTGAACCGCTTTAATAAAGCCTATGTGAAGAAGTGGCTGATTGCAGGCGAGCGCTCCACCGAGCCTCAGCTCATCTCCTTCTACAACAAGATGGAGATGAAACAGGCCATGATGCTGGTGGAGAGCGGGAGCACTGCCAAGCTGCCCTCACTTATATCGTCCGTCTCCATGCAGTAAGTATCAGTCATAAGATGGCCAGTGATGTTTGTCACACAGTCCTGAGATCGAGTACTAGAAGTGTCATGTTGGTAACTTTCCACCAAAGAATTGGCCCTAATGAAAAGTGTTGACAGACCTGATTAACCAGGACATTTGTTATAGAAGTTTGTTGTTTATTAACAATGAATGAATGAATAATTATTAATTAATGTTATTGTAGCTATTGTCATTACTGTCTGCCCTGCATCTCTCTTTGGCTCTGTCTCTCTTTATGTCTCATTTTGTCATACGGATTACTGTAAATTCATTATGTTGATCTGTTCTGTACGACATCTATTGCACGTCTGTCCAGCCTGGAAGAGGGATCCCTCCTCAGTTGCTCTTCCTGAGGTTTCTACCAATTTTTCCCCCCTGTTAAAGGATTTTTTGGGGAGTTTTTCCTTATCCGCTGTGAGGGTCCACAGGACAGAGGGATGTCGTATGCTGTAAAGCCCTCTGAGGCAAATTGTGATTTGTGATATTGGGCTTTATAAATAAAATTTTATTTAATCGAAATTTAATTGTTTTAAGTAGTACTGATAAGTGATGTGTGTCTTCACAGGAACATGCAATCAAGAGGTCCGGCCAGACGACGGGCAATGCCGACCATCTCAAAAAGTCGTGAGCAAGAGATCAGAAAGATCCTGCGAGCCAACCTGCAGAAGACCAGACAGAGGGTAGGAAATGATGTCAGTGGATGATAATAATAATAAATGAAAAAGTAAATAAATGTGTTTCTGACGCTCCATTGATGTTTTTCCTCCTCAGCTTCGTTCGTACAGCCGTCACGACCTGATGATCGACCCGTTTGAGGACAGTGTGAGTGAAGTTCGGTTCAGGAAGCAGCGAGTGGAGATGGAGAGGAGGGTGAGTCTAACAGCCGCTGTCATTCTGTCTGTGAATGTTAGAGGTGTGGGAATACAAGATTTCTAAAATCTGCTATGTAACCTTATTTAGAGATGTAGTTCTCTGTGCTGAGACTTGTTCATTCTGTGAATCTTCTTCTTCCTGGTTGCTTTTAATGAGCCGCCATTGTAAGATGACTCTTTGTTAATCCCATTCACTCTGTGGTTAAATGGTTTTGATTAACTGAATGACACCCAAATGTTTTGTTTGTTCTATGATTCAGTATGAATAAATTAAGTGAAGCTAAATGACAATTAAGTCTAAATAACACATTGATTAATATCTCACATTTCAAGATTCTGATTATTGGTTGGTATTAAGCTTTGAAATGAAGTCAGTCTTGACAAATGTTTTTGTCTCATTCACAGATGAGTCACTACCTCACAGTTCCTGCAAACCGCCAGGAAACACCGCCAGTGAAAAAAGTCTGCTTTGAACCAGGTCAGAGTTTATCTTATGGTATGATAAAAGATGAACATGAGGAAATGGGACTTTTATACATTTCTGTAGAGTCACAGTGAAGCAATATTTAAAGAGCATTTTTTTTTCTTTATTTGGACATGTCTCCTGGGTAAAAACAGGATGTTGTGTGTGAACAGGAAGGAATCAAAAAGAAAAGAAGTCATAGTCATGGCTGGGTTCCCACGATCATGAAATTCCTGTCAAAGTTATGAAATTACAAAAACTGTTTTTAGGTCCTGGAAATGGTTAGGCATTAACAGAGTGTTTTGAGATTTTTATGAACTTATTTTAAACAATAGCCACAACAAAGAGTAATTTTCCAAAACATGTTTAACATTACAAAAATGCTTTCCCTGTATTACAATTATAAAATGTAGGGCTGCACAGGGTAACTGTAGACCAGACTTGCATCGCTACAGCACCAAGTCGATCCCCCTTTTGGGAGACAGAAACGCGCTGTCACATCAGGAGGGAAACAGGAAAAGCTGGAGAGTTGTTGTGTAGCAGGTTAACCGAGGCTTTTTCACAGAGATCTGAGTCACATAAGATATGTTAATAATAACTGTCAGTGTGGTAAATGTCTAAATGATGTTAGTGACAATTACTACTGATGGAAAGCTAAAGTGGTCTACAGTGCGAGGCCGCCAAAGTGACATTACAGTCATACTGTGTAGAAGCATGAGACTGTCATCTCCAGCTTAATCTCAGATCAAACAGTTGTCTAGTTAGTAGTAGAAGTATAAAGTAGCATAAAACGGAAATACTCCAGTAAAGTACAAGTACCTCAAAATTGTTCTGAAGTACAGTACTTGAGTAAATGTGGTAAAAGCTGTAAGAAGCACAAGCAACCAAACATCCCCAAAAACAACCCTCACTAAAGCCTAAACTGCTGCTGGTAGACAATGTTTATCACTAATATGTCACTGCTCTGTATCTGTTTTCACCAGAACACCAGGTTTACACCTATGATGATAGCGAGAGCTCCAGAGGCCAGACAGCTCAGACAGATCCAAACCCTCCTGACAACGTCAGCCTGGTGAACGAATCCCCCCAGAGGCCCAATCAGAGCAGCGAACAGAGAGCCAATGTGCCGGACGAGCAGGAAGAGCAACAGAAACTATCACGCTGCCTTAGTGACCCCGGTCCAAACAAGGAGGAGGACCTCTCATGATGAAGCACATATTAACAGGATGAATTCACCTCTCCATGATCTCCTTGTTTGATCTGTTGCATTCAACGAGTGGAGTTCCCAGAGTGAATGGGAGTTGTAGCAAAGCTTTATATTTATTAAGTATTAAGTATTTTCCATGTCCTGTTTTTGTGATATGAGAATATGCCTTTTTCCACAAGTTCACAAGTATTTTCAGCATGTAACATGTTTCCAAAGCATGCACCACTGGACATTTTCTATTTCAGGATTTTATTACAGCCTGAAGTGAGCCGAGTGTCAGCATTTAGTGTCTTAACAAGCAAACTTGCGTTGAATTGTACAAAAAAAGCACTTGTTTTAGCAAGCTTGAAGCACCAGATGGGTGAAGTTTACCACCTCAAAGCACAGTATAAAGAATCTATAAAGCAGTGAGCGACCGATAAATCATCTCGTCTGATATTATGGATATTACCATTGTTGCAGGTATATCAGGGTTGGCACATACATCGGCAAATGAAGAGTAGTAAATTGCTGCACAAAAATACCAAAGAAATATTTGAGGTGATTTAGAAACAATGTCCCCATATGTGAAGTTTGTTATTAGCAATGCTAGCAGCATGGCTCGATAGGCCCAGACACAGCAAACAGACATCAAAGAGCTAGTGGTGATGAGGGCTGACTGTTGCGTCGCCTCACCTCACATGTGTCTCGGCCAAAAAGTTGCACTTAGACACAACTGCCAACTAGTGACCAACGATTGTCTGTGTGAGAGGAAATAACTCTCCATGGCAGCAGGCAGCAGTAGTCTGTAAACATTATTAAAAAAGGGAAATCTGAAGACCAACAGGATGGATTCAAGATGCTAGTTAGCCTGTCAGCACATTAACAACACAATCTGTTATTGAAAGAACAAAGGATATTTATTGTTTGCTAGCGTACAACAACTATACGATGGATTTCCATTACATTTTTTACAGACATTCATGGTCACCAGAGGATGTATCCTAATAACTTTGGTCATTCTCTGACTTCTCCTCCAGAGCCACCATGAGGTTGAAAGTTGGGGGTTTTGGGTGAAATTTCTCAACAACTATTGAATGGAATGCCATGAAATTGTTAAAAAAAAAAAGGTAAACTATGCAGAACTGTCACTGTTTGTAAACACGTTTGTCAGTGAAAGAGACAGTAAAACTTAGGTTTGGGAGGTATCACAGTATTACAGAATACCAGGGTATTTAAAAATCCTCACGGTATCATCTTTGATACCACCAAAGGTACAGGCGCTCCTCTTTCTGTTACACTCACTGTATGTAGTGCGCAGCGGGTGCCACCAGAGGTCTCTAGTCTCAACTGCTGGAAAAGGCAGCTGGAGGAGGTGAGGTTAACGTTACAGGACTTTTTTTTTAAGTGCACGCCAACACCGTCATATATCGTATTTAAGGAGGGTATGAAGGTATCAAAAATAAGATACGGTCCATGCCTACTAAAAGCCAACTCCCAGATTCACTCTTGTTTAGCATTTTGTCTTGTTGTATTGGTATTCTTTCTGCGCTGTGTATCTTAGATGCCTGCTGCTTACAGTCTAGCAGCTGGTCGATACCTTTGTACAAAGCTCTGACCTCACCTAAGCACTGTGGGAGTACACACCAATAAGCATCACATACATGGAGAATAAGAAGAAAATACAGCGGAGTTTCTGCAGAAAAATACACTGCCACACACCTATAGTGAGTCATGAATTGAGATTGACAGAGATGATTAATTCTGTATAAGTCTATACATTGTTTTTCTAGAAAAAAATCCTGCACAGTATATCTTTGAATTGGGCTATATACTAGTCAGTATTATAAAATACAAGAGAGAATTACTGTTAAAGGTGTCCTGGTGAAATGGAGAGCACGTATCTAGTGATATAGGAATGTTAAAATAACTTAAAAGTCAAGAATAAACCACAACAAATATTGTTTGACCGAGGTCTGTGAACAAGCTTGTATTTAACCTCTCTGCATGACTGATCTGTTTTCTCAGGGACGACAACATGGCACAGTATTAACAGAAGCTCTCTGCAAAAGGAAAATAAGTATTAATGTGCTCCACTGGTCTCTGTTTATAATGTGACTGTTTTGTATGCTACTGTGTTTTTGATTGCGTCAGTAACATTCCAGCAGTAATCGAGTTTAACAGCTTTTTGTAACAAAGCTCTCCATATCTGTGTTCTTGGTAACTGAACATGCTTGAAATGAATACTTCACTTCCCAAATGATCATTTGTATATCAGTTACTCACCCTGTGTTATATTGACTTTGTAAAGAAAACTTTGTTTTTCTTGCATGCCTCCAGAGAAAGAATCCCAAAACTGAGAAAATTCTTGATGAATTGAAGTCGTCTGTGTTTAACAACAGCAAAACTATATCAAAACATCTGTTTACAAAATCTGACACAATTTATGCAGTATAATCCAAGTTTTATTTATCTAGTCGTATGCTCAGTAGATCCCAAACAGACCTTTCCAATGAGAAACTGAACTGAAATTGAAACTTATATATGCTCTCTTCTAAGCCAGACTTCATTGACAAAAACAGTAATGTTAGCATGCTGTACACGGGAGCTGCTGGTCTACCGCTGCCTCGATCAGTTAATTTGTGTTATGGTGTGACTTAAGTGAATCTGAATTCACTTTTTAAAACACCAGAGACACAAAATAGCAGTAAAGATTAAAACAAGGCAGTGGCAGTGGTGGACCAGCACCTCCCATGTTCAGCAAGGTAAAATTCCTTGTTTTTTCAATGGAGTCTGCCTTTAAGAGAAAAGTTTCACTTTCAGTTCAGTTCCCTGTGAGAGTGCCATCAGTTTGGAAAGCACTGAGCATACCACTAGATAAATGAGACTTGGATTATACTGCATAACTTGTGTGAGTTTATAAACATTTGTTTTTATATAGTTTTGCTGTTGTTAAATGCGGACGCCTATGACTTCAATTCATCAAGAATTTTCTGTTCTTGGATTTGTTATTCACTGTAGAGCCATGCAAGAAAAACAAAGATTTACTCACAAATTCAACGTAACACAGGATGAGTATTTGATATGCAAATGGTCATTTGGAGTGTGACCTATTCTTTTCAAGAGGTTCAAGAGGTTCAAGAGTTGAATCACCTTTTCATATCTGCACAGTACTGGACTGCCTGAGCTTCTGCTGCCTGCACATTTGCCTTACAATGTATTGCTTTCTGTTTGTTTGCCTGGTGAAGTGTTTTTATATTTTGAAAATGAATCATAAATATTTGTCAAATAAAGGAAAGCTTTAAGTACTTTCTGAAATAAAGATATGTCATTGCCTAAATTTGCTGTTAATATGCAGTGATTTTGTTGGATTTTTGGAAGGAGAGACATCCTCACATGCACACTGGAGTCATTTTTCATTTACATGTTACTTAATGTTCAGCCCATCCTGACTCTCACTGGAAATTACAGTCCAAATAACAGGGAATTTGAAGTCCCCAACATGCCAACTAGCAGTGTGTGTGATGGGATTATGACAACAAGAACATCAGATGTCCTCAGGCAACCAACACGACCAGCAGGCATGGATTTCAACGGCACTTGGAAAATTTATTCAGAGGAAAACCTTGATGAGTTCTTAAAAGTTGTAGGTAAGAATATCTTAAAAATATAAAGGATTTGTTTGATTATGTATGCATACATTATTTTTCTTTTAAATGTGCATTCAAGGTGTACCTGAAATGGTTATCAAAATGCGAAAAGAAGTCAAACCGGTGTGGGTGATTGAGCAGAATGGACAAGACTTCACGTGCACAATGAAGACTCCCATGTGCAGCCATGTTAACTCATTCACCATTGGAAAGGAGTCTGAGATTACTACTGTGGATGGCAGGAAGTTTAAGGTAATTCAAGCCCCAAACCCTTCATGCATATGAGCATAGAAGTGAAGACATGAACTGATGATGCCAAAATATAACCCCAAGAAGGCACTTATTCAGGAATTTATGTAGGCTTCAGTTAATTTCAGTGAGGCTACAGTTCTGTTCATGAGCATTTTTAAATAGAGAGCATGTTGTAGCAGATATCTGCCTCAGTGTTTCTTCATGCGTGTAAAGTTAAAAAAAAATGGGATTCATAAAGAAACAATTGCCAACACTTGTCCTTTGATGATTTCGAGGCTAAATATATTCAGACACAATGACATGTAAAGGATAGATAGATGGATTTTTGGCAGTAAAGAAAAGAAGAACAGGTGATGGTCTTGTGTAAATGTCTCTCATATCTCAGATATGACAAATCATATCTTGCTCTTGAGTCTACATTGATATAGGGGGAAAGATTTGTGTCTTTTGTGTCTAAAACCTAATTTTTCATCAATTTGTTGGCCCTGGGCACAGATATGCAAAAGATTTTTGTGGGTATTTTGAATTTTGTGTCTCTTTGCAGTTTCTTTGCATGTCTGTGTGGTCATTTTGAGTCTCTACCAGTCAGTACATGTTTATTTGAGTGACAGTTTGCAGGATAAGGCCAGGGGGCCCTAAAAATTTGGTCCCCCGGGCCTTTGCTAGTCAGGTCTGTACAGTAATCCATGCATGGTTGCAAAAAATTAGTTTGATTAGGAGGCATAAAGTTGTCTTAGCAAAGGGGCATTATGGTATACAGTAAGTTTGAGAACCACTTTCATCACTTGAAATGTTATTGGTCTTGGCCAGTGCATGATCAGAGAGGAGAACGGGAAGCTGATATCTGAGACAGAAAAGTTCACCTCTGTCCGGGAGATCCAAGGGGACGAGATGATTGAGGTCAGTGGCTTTATTTCTTTTAGAAACTGCAGTAAAGACTAGGGATTCAGTGTTAGCTGGAAATGAGTGAGTTATTTTAATGTGACACAGTCATGATTTATCTCTGTCTCTGCTTCCCTGCTTTTCTAGACCATCACTTCTGGTCCTGTCACTTTCATCAGCAGAAGCAAAAGAGTCTAATCCACACCTGTATGCTGATGGATCTCTTTTTGACCTTCTCATCTTCAAGTGGGAAATAAGTGGAAATAACACAATGGAATAAAACTTAATACATTTATGAATAAATGTAAATGATTGAATCAACCAAAATGTTTGTTTTTTTCACACAGTTTCTGCCATAGCTGCAGGTGATGAGCTCAAACGGCAGGGGGCGCTGTGGGTATTCATAACCCGATTTTTTGTTTGGGAGGAAGAACCAGAACGCGCCTTGTGAGTGCGCATGCGCTAAAAATATTTGCGCTGCAGAGCAGGTTTTTCTTCCTCACCCCCCCCCCCCAAAAAAAACATTTCATCTGCTGGTTGAGTGTAAGTTTATGGCCAGATACATGAGGCCCCCAAACACGTCTTTGTTCGTCAGAAACATCTCCGATGAATCCAGGTGAGTACACATACAGACGCGATTAGATCATCCACTGACGCTAAATAACTCACATTGGCGGTAGCTTACTGTTAGCTAACTTAGCAGCTAGCTAATGTTAGCCTGCTCGTCGGAACCTCGACTTAACGTTACCTTAAACTAATGTATAGGGGCGCTTTACGTTGTTAGTATTTACTAACTGCATCGTAGTGCACCCATATAGTTAAAATAAGACAGCGTCTGAAATATGAACGTGCATTTGTCAAGATTGAATTTCTTGCTTGCACCTCTTTGTTTGCGTTGCGTGTCTGCGCATTCGCCGTGTTTATAAATAAGCTAACGTGGCTACGTTGGCTAACTCAAAGACAAGAATTCAGTAAATAGTTGGGTGATTTGCCGGTAAAACACGTTTAATGTATTATTATTATGAACTGTTGCTTGTTAAGTTATCCAGATAGGCTTCTAACGTTATACATTGCGTATAGCGTAGCCATGGGTAACATTAGCTAACGGGAAAATATTCGTAATTTACATGTCCATGTTGTGTGGCATTAATAAAACCATATCAGCACTTAGTCACATAAACTAAAACTAAACTGAAAAGGATTTAAACAGAGTTAACTAATATCAGTGGATGGATTAATGTTACTACAATGTCCTAATTAAAATGTACTGTTAAACTAACGTTGAGGAATTACATATATATATTTTTGAATAAAACTTTGGCCGACTACAGTTTCTTTTCCATTATCTGAATATTATTAGTTATTGCCCAATGTTGATTTGATTGAGTGTGTTTATGAGTTTTTGAAAAAGCATGTTGGTGATTATCATAATCAGTGTTTTCCTCGTCATCATGGTAACATATTGACCCATGCACTTAAGCGCTAATTAGTTTTTATTAGCACAAAAATTGTATATTGCATATCTAACCTGAATGGAGCAACATCTGCATCTGCTTATGTGAGTTTTAGACCTGTTAGTGGGTTTTTCATTGAATTGCATGTTGAACACAACAGTGTACATACAGCATCTTAAAGGGTCAGTTCACTGCAAAACATAATAGAATCGTTGCAGAACCAAATAAAACCACTAGAATGAAAGTTGTTCTTGAGCTTTTCTGTGCTGGTAGCAGGCAACAGACCTAATGCAAATAACACAGAGCCTGTGTGGTCTGATTGCCAGAAATAAGGTAATAAAAAGTCTTATTTTGTTTTGGGGTGAACTGTCCCTTTAGCCCTCTCACTGCTGCTCTCAGCTGTTACTGGTTAATGATGTAGGTAGAATTTCCTGTGATGGTCAGTTGAGTCATACTTGTATTTACGGTGTTCAGGCCTGAGGATTTGCGGCGTGAGTTTGGCCGCTATGGGCCGATAGTAGATGTCTACATCCCACTTGACTTCTATACACGCCAATCAAGAGGATTTGCATACATTCAATATCCTTTCCCAATGAGTGTTTACTGTGTTCGTGCTCCTGCTAACAAAACATTTTAACATTTTATTTCTTTTCAGCAGAGAAGATATGCTTTTTGTGACATTTTTTTCTTGCACTTAATTTGATTGAATATCTAACACACATCATTTCTCTGTTATTGCTTCAGAAAATGTAAATGCATCCAGTTGTGGAACCGGCCACAAAGAGTAACAAAGACCCGTGTAGAGTAGCTGTAAAGACAAGTCACACAGACCTTCAGGATCAGAGGGAGGGAAAAGGTTGAAAAGAGAAAGTAAAGCATGAAGAGGAAAAGGGAACGGAAACGAGGCTTGGATATGGCGGCAAAGAATTGGGAAAAGAAAAGAGGTTTAAGAGGAAAAGGCAAGCAGGAAACCCAAGTCTCTGTGGGAGTCGATTAAAGAGTGTAAAGATCAAGATGAAGTTCAAAGTCAAGCATGGGCAAAGGTAACAAGTCTGAATTATTTTGTATCCTCCCAAGACAAATCCACAAATTTGACATGGCAACAAAATCAGCTTTCC